GTAGTAGTAGTAGTAGTAGTAGTAGTAGTAGTAGTAGTAGTAGTAGTTTTAGTATGCCTTAGTACCACGTACAGATTCTACAGATCGTCCAAACTGGGGGACTGTCAACCATTTGGGGGTTTGGGGTTTAGAGTGTCAGTGTCTCTGCAAAAAGTCGGAGACCCCCGCATCTCAACTTCACGGGGAGACTTCGCAGCGTCATATTGGGTAAGCTTTCTCCTGAATCGGCCATTCTCAGGCTAAAAGAAGGGGCGTAAACAGGGCCGTAGAAAGACTGCTTACACACGAGGTGCTGTGGTGGTTTGCCTCTTAAGTGCATGCATGCAGCATTGTTTGCTAAGTGATTTCTGTGGCCATGAAACCTGGCACTCAGCCAGCGAGAGCTTTAATGTTGACTGCTGAAGTCACCACAAAACTGGAGATGTGGAACCATCCCAGTGTGTTTGGCGGGGGGGTATGGGGTCAGCCATTCATCAACAGTCCACATTCGTCGACTGAAACATACAGCCTATAGCTATTACAACCTTGTTTTTGACCACGCATTGTCGTTGATGCTCCAGGGAGCCTCAACGGAGTGGTGACATCGAGGCATCCAACAGCGGGGTGTCCCCGTGGACTCGAACACGTCGCACTACTGCTGAGACTATGCCTCAACCGGCGTGGGGAAGCCAATTTCCATGTTAACAATAAAACATGCAAAAATGGAGCAGAGAGGCTTTGGTGTTGGCGGTTTTGGTGTTGGCTTCATCACGGACAAATGGACCAATTCGAAGGACGGTTATTCTGCTCGAAGGAAGGTTATTCTGACGCAACAGACCGTCCTTCGGATTCTCAGCACGTCTCCGGTCGCAAGTCCCTCCACTCTCAACGCGTGGTGTGTCCCATTTCCGCCACGGTGCGACCCCTGGTCTCCAGGGGTCGGGTCATCGGTTCCAAGTAAGAAGTCTGAAGTCTGAAGTCGAGCGCTTTTGGGGACCACTGAGCAGATGGTGCATGTGCCAATTCTTTGTTCGTGGGTGACTTGGAGCCAATCATCCTCTTGAGTTGAAGCACGGCGTAATATCTATCATATACTAAGACCGTATACCTTCTACTGGTGCTGGATCCCTTTGACAGCGAGCTTTTCATCTATAGGTGGTGCCAACATGTCATCCACTGTGCCGCAGCGTTTCAGCGCCGCGCGGCCTTTCGCTCGCGACGCGAAACGTCGATTCGGGTTCAGTTCAGGTTGGCGTGGCCACAAGCCGTGAAGAGAGGGCTGGTGAGCAACATGGGCTGCTTCAGTGGTTCCATGTTTTTCCTGCACTGGTAGGTGGGCGACCGAGGGGTCGAAGTCGTCCACTCCGAAAGCCTTTTTTTGGCGGAGTCGTCCACTCGGCTTTGGGCGCAGAAATCGTGGAATTGTTGGGTGCGACATGGTGCAACGTTGGTCATTCCTTCGGACCTTGCAGGACAGACCATTCAAGAATCGATGTTCGCACGATGCGCCTAAGTTCATTTTGAGGCTACGGGGATCACGAGAAAAACCAAGAATCTACTTCTTGATGCCTCGTCTATCCTCGTCTATATAGGCTTCTTCTGGACGGGTCCTATATCCTTCGGTCCGCTGCGAGGTGAGACGGGTCAGATGGAACTTCCTGTTTCGAAATGGAAGGCTTGAAGTGGAGGAGAAGCGAATCTGCAAATGTCTAAAACACGGTAGATGGGCATGGGAAACATGAATACTATCATGAATGGTTGTTGGAAGCCTAGGCCGGGATACTATTGCTATCTATTGCTCAGAAATTCTGGACGGGGACCTGAGGGCCTCTCTTCCTCTTTCGCCCATTTCGCCTCGGTGCCGCCTTGCAGCCGACGGTGCTGTGTCGATCCTCCCTCCGAGCCAAGCCCAAACGACCCTCGCTCGCCCGACGCCATCGTCCCGGTGGGCTGGAATGACCCCCCTTTTAGGACGTTCGGTGACTGTCGGTCCCGGAGGAAGGGTCAGAGCTCGAGGTCGTCGGGGCACGCGAGGGCTTTGGTTGAGGTACACAACTGATCGAGACCGTGGCGTCCGACGTCAATAGAGCTTCTTGGACGGTGAGCAGTTGGAGTTGGAGGCGCTTTTTGGGATGGACGACGGGGTGCGCGGACGACGGGGGCGGACGTGAGGGAAGAGATTGATTCATGATACAGCAATTTGCTGGCTTGGAAACGGGATCCCGGTTCCACTGACGGCCGCAAGCAGCGCATGCTTCGGCTTCAGCGGCAGCCAGTCCCGGTCAAGGAGCTCCGAACGAGGCCACCGGAGCTTCTAAGACCGTCCCGGAACGCGCGCGCGCGCGGGTGGCGCGAGCGACTGAGGAGGCGCTGGAGCTGAGTTTGGCACACCTTCAGGCAGGGTGGCAGAGACTTTCCAAACCCCAAAGGGCACGGACCGAGAGATTTGGTCGGTCCAGCGACCGGGAGACGACGACAGGTGTCCGAAGAAGGTCGTGAGATGTGGATATAGAATACTGTGTCTTCGTCTTTGTGAAAGCTGAAGTAGACATGGGATTCTTAGAAGGGAACTGGATTCGAGGATTCCATGGGCTTGACACATGCACCTAGATCGACTGATATTCATCAAACCATCCCGGGCCCCCCCCCAAAAAAAAGAAGGGGTCCTCTGTTTAAAGGCCACAACGGATCCCCCACATCTTTCAACGATCCACGTGAGAGAGACTCTCTCACGAACCCCGGCTCTCTTTCTCACGTCATGGAGAATCTCCTCCCGGCGCCAGGAATTCCAAGATCCTGGGATGTTGCAATTGGCACAATCTCTACCGCCCAACTTGACGAAGCTGAAATTGGGCTTGGAGGGCTGCGGCTCGTTAAAGACCGGACCGCAGTCGTCTTGTGTCTGTGTGCGTGTCCGTCGGAAGTGATTGGAAGTGGTGGAAGTCAACTACAGATTTCGGGTGTGTCGGAACAGTCGGCAACTACAGATTATCATACCTATACAGACTCCACTGGCATGAAAATTTCGATGCCGCTCAGGAAAAAAACAGGTTTGGAAGAAATGCCGCGACTTTTTTGGGGTTGCAGCGTGTTTCTGGGATTGCAGCATTTTGACTCAACTCGGGGTCTGGAGATCAAGTCGAGAAAAACACATGCAGCGTGTTTGACCATGTTTGCGGCGTGTTTGCCCATGTCAGTGTGCGGTTTGTTTTTGGTGAAGCTTGCTAAAAGCCAACTCGCGGCGTGTTTCTGGGAATGCAGCGTGTTTCTAGCAACTCGCGGCGTGTTTCTTCAATTGCCGCAAAACTATCAGTGTTTTGTCATGACGGCGGAAATCAACGCTGCAAGATTCTTTTAGGTATATTTGAGAATACTCTGCAACTCATCCAGCAACAGCACTCCTTCTTGGTGATTGTTGCTCTCCCCGGGGGACCTGCCGTTTGCCTCCGTCTGCAATGCCCTGCCTTTGGCTGATGGTCTGATGGTCCAACCCCCATGCATGGTCGGTTGTTTCGTTGGACCAGGTTGGACCAAAAATACCTGGAAACAAGTGGTGATACATGTCCATACAGGTTAGTTGGACCTCCTTTTGTTGGAGTTGAGACAAAAACGTGGCCCCGTTCTCAAACTCCAGGGCACCGACTATGGGGCGCAGAAGGGAAAAGACTGTTGGGCAACTGGTCCGCGTTTGGTTCCCAAACTTGGGGCCAAAAACGCGATCACAGGAAGATGGTGATTCGATGACCGACGAGATTCGTTCGCACATGGCTCCTTTTGGAGATTTCGTCTCCCTCATACCTTGTCATAAACATCCCCTATGAACCCAAGTTGTTCTAATAAATGTATGTCTACCAGCACCCTTCAACAGGTCTCCGATGGCTGGAGGGTTGGGAGACGGGCCCTAGCTTTCAATTGGTGACCTGGCAGGGCCGTCGGTGCTGGTGGCCATACTCGTTCAACAGGTCTCCGCTCGAATGGACCAAGGTCATGAACTCACAGATCAGGGCGTGAAGGCCTTGGCGTCTCTCGGTGAGAGCACCGGAACTGAAGGGCCGGAGGAGGGAGAAAGGGTCGGAGGGCTGCTGGTGTTTTTTCTTTTTTGGTTTCCACGCTTTCCTGAAAAGGAAAGCTGGACCTAGCTGGAATAGGAGACCTTGGGGGAAGTGACATGTCGCAGACTTCATTTCGAGAAACCTGCCCAAGCGACCGTTTCAGGGTTGGACGGTTGGACGGATGTTTTTGGTGACTTCCCCTGGCCGAACGAAGAAGTCGCTGCCAGTTCTTCGCGAAACCACTTCGCTGCCAAAGTTCGGTCTCCGTTTGGACCGTGCGAAACGGAAAGAACTTCAGTGCCATTTTGAACTCGACCTTGGAGATGGGAAGGAGAACGCAATGCTTTCGGGAAAAACAAAACATACCTACTTCACCGACCGTACGGTGGAGGTGGAGGGACACCTCCATGTGCCTCAAAGACCCGTCATTACGCCGCGCCGAGCGGTGCGATCCAACACATACAGTTCCTGTGGACCGGGTCGTGGGGACCCCTGAACCCAACACGTATCACATCCCACCGGCCCGACCCATGACGAAGCGCTTCCGTTCGCGCGAACCCGCCTGCCCGCTTCCGGCCCCGTGGGCCGAAGCTGGGGCTGAAGGAATCGCTGGGGCACGAAGCTGAAGCCACATGGCAGGTGATCGCAGGTAGTTGGACCGTGGTGTTGGTTTTTCCAGCAGACGAGTGGACAGACAGTTTGCTTTGGATTGGATTTGCTATGGCTGGTTGCGGAAAAGAGGCAACGACCAAAAGCTACACATCCTTTCGGAAGATCAACAGTTTATGCTTTTTGTGCTCTCCATGCTGGAAAATGAATTAATGTTCGCCGCAGTCGCTGGTCTCGACTGCAGCTCCGTCTGACGTTCCTTCTGTCACGGTTTCTGATTGATTTCGTTGTTGAAGATAAACTTTGGGATGCGAATCATCAAGATTTGTCAGATAGGCAGGACATGGCAGGACCCAAGATTCCAGATTTGAAGGATCGTCCGGAAGCTTCCCCAGCACATCGGTGCGATGTTCAAGCTTCCACCCCCCCTTTCACGCCGATTGAGATGATTTGGAAGGAAGGCCACCTGATGTGCCACCTAAGCTGAAGTGCAACCTGATGTTGATGTGCAATCAGACTAAGGCCCTTAAAGGCCCTCGTATATATATATATATATTGAACTGTATAACTATTATGTCAATCCCGGGCATTCTTGAAACCAAGTGGCACAAGTCGGCCAAAAGAGTCCTCGACATCAATACATCCATCCCATGCCACTCACCATCTCACCATCTCACCACTTGAAAAGGTTCCCACCACTCACTTGGAGTCTTCTTTTTCTTTTTTCAATTCCCAAGATCCACCCGTTGGGGGGGGTCCTTTGAGGCCGAGCCGACTGTCCTTTAAACAGAAGCCCGTCCGTCAGCCCACCCGCGTTGACGGACGCGACGGGTAAGGCACCTCTACTTGGACTTCGTGGGCTGCGGAAAGCTGACCGACGCCAGTCTCTCCGTGCTGGTCGCTTGGTGCAGGTCTTGCCGCATGGGGCAGCGTGGACTCCGCGGGGCGATGGGGTGTCGGCGCAGCGGCGCGGCCTGAAGGTGATGGGGGGGTGGATGGATCTTCAAGAATTCAGGAATCTGAAGATGCAAGAACTGCAAGATAGTCCGAGGTGATCCAGCCGCCGTTTTGAGACACTTCCACCGAAACTGTTCAACATTCGCCCACATGCTTTGGCCACCCTCCTTGGTGCAGAAAATGCATGAACATGGTGTGGTTTCACTCGACATTCGAAGGATGGGAGATGGCTGTAGGTTCTGAAGCGAACCGTTCTTCGTTGTTCCATCTGATGAATTGGATGGCGAGGCCCAGAATTTGCCACCCACACTGACAGACCTGGAGTTGCACATGGCTGGATGTGTGCTTGTGGGGCCTCCGGGAATGGAGCCCCTTGGGTGTTGAAGGAGCGCAAGTGGAGGTGGGTTGAAGGAGAGGTGGAGGGTTTTTTGATGTTTTTGGGTTGGAGGAGGTGGAGGTGAAGTGCACTCTCTCAGAACATGTTTGTGTTGTTTCAAGATCCGAGGTTGTTTTCCCAGTGGGCGCACGTGTCTGAACATGGTGAGGTCAGACCATTCTTTGATGTTCCTTTTAATCGGCAAGATTGTGATAGACATCCTGGAGGACGGACGACTTCGGGATGGAATTGTCCGGTGATCGGAATCTGTTTCTACGGTTTTTTCGGTCTGTTTTGGTGCCTTTTTTCGGTCGCCGTCCAAACTGTTCGGTGTGTTCACAGTTCGTGACCGAACATGTTCGTTCGGGCGGTTAGAGCCTGCGCTTGCTTCAGTGCGCTGCGGAGGCTGGGGTTCGCCATGCACCGCCTGGTGCATCGCTCAAACCTTCGGGTCCGGACCCGGACTGCCCGGACAGGGAGACTTCCGATTGGCCCGGTGACGAGTCTAGAGTCTGGAGTAGCGACTCGAAGAAGAATGGATTGATGAAGCCCTCAGAGTCCAACTTTGACTCATTTTACCCCTCTGTGGTAGTGGATGGATTGACTTCCAGGTGGAGAAAAAACGAGTCAGACCGAGTCAGACTGGACGTTTGGATGTCCCCGGGGATGATTTTGAGAACTTCCTTTCCTTCACCAACTTCGAAAAGGAATCAGCCTTTGGACTTTCTAGAGGAATCATGAAACCATCGAAGATGCCCAAGCTCTGCTCCGCTCGGCTCACGGCTTGGGGATTTGGGGCGTGGGCCAGGGCTGTTGGTCCGGATGAGCACCGGCAACCTAGGCACCTGAAGAAGCATTGGCCCAAGAGTGTGAAGGTCTTCCGAGCAAGTTTCAAAGCAACGAAGTTGAATCGCAACTTTATGACCCTCCAGGATCTTGAAGATTACTGGAGAGAGTCTTAGAGGCTTGCGGCTTGTTCATGAGTTTGGACTCGTTCTTCTTGAGCTTGTGAAATAAGAAGGCACACCAATAAGTGGTGCAGTAGAACCGATATAGCAATATTATATAATATTCCTAGCATACCAGCTGTCATCCTGCCTGTTTCAACCAAGTCCAGATTCCAAACGCATCCAAAGATGCACGGACAAGTCAGATGATTTTTTGGTTCCACATGAGCCGACGCAAAAGAAGTTCAGCATTATTTTGTGTGGGACCCTCCAACCGTGGGGTAGACGGTCCGCCGGCGGGAGGTTTTTCGGTCGCTACACAGGTGAGATGATGTGAGCATAGAAAATTCGCTCGTGTTTAAGAACTTTGACGTGCATTTGAAGATCTTTGAATCTTTGAACACATGCCCAGTGCCCTCAACATTTGCCAAGTTGGTTTGAGGTATTCGGGCATAGTCATTGGCCCTTTATGCACATACGGACATATAATTACTATAGACAAACTACATGTGGAAAGACACCAGGACCATCCTGTTTGGGTAGGGTAGTCCAGCCAGGACACCCAGACAGGATGGTCCAGGTAGTTAAGTTTAGTAAAGCGTATCAATGTCAGCCACATGATTTACTAAACATAGGCACACATCTTGTTTGCGTGTTCAGCTTGGCTGAAAGATATGACGTGAAGTTGAACAAACAGAAGATCGACTTCCTGATGTTCAGCTTTCCACACAGTCTACGAGACTCACCATGACAAAACGCCTGATCCGGACGAACTCGTCTCAGTCCATGCGTGATGAACCAGCCGTCGGTTCAGGGGCTTGTCTTCGAGTCGACGCAGATCACCGGGTGTTTTCAAGGTCGTGAAGGGAGAACCCCTCAAATTCAGGGTGTTCTTTTTTTGTTCTCAAAAAACATGCATTTCTATGCATTTCTCTGAATTTGGAAAGAGGCCACTGGGAAATGAGCTGGCGAGAAAGCAAAGTGCCAAAACGTTGATATCGGAAAAGCAAACCCTACACCGCCCACTTTTCATTGGTCCTGGTGTCGAACCTTTCCTCCACTGCCCGAAGCAGCCCGATGCTTGCAGATGCCGAACAGACATCGAACGCATACAAACAAACACGGTGACGTGTAAGATAGGAAAACACAGCAGGAAAATGGAAAACTTATGGGCCCCTGATGGGCCCTGAAAATATTTCACTATTGTTGCGAAAGGTGTGGTAGAGTATATAGATGATGACATCTTTGACTTTTGGGTGAGGAGGGACCTTTTCTTCATCTGCGCTCCATAACCCGGTGTTTCTGAACACCTTCATGGCAGCATTTGGGCCAAAGGCTTTGTAGCAGGGAAGATCAAGCCTGGCAGTTGTGTGATCTCCCTATTCCAAGCAAAGCACACATGTCGGGTGATTCACTCTATCACTGGTGGCCCAAGAGGCTCGGGACAGAAGTTCAGACACCAGCTCAGGGTGGCTACAGTGAACCTCGCCCCAGAGGTTACAACGGTTGATGGACATGAATCGATAAGAAGACGCGTGAAGTTCTTGTGAGTGCACTCAAATCAAGTCGTCGACGGGGTCATCTCATTCACCGGTCATTGACCCGATTCTAACGCCGGCAGTTTCAAACTTGGCTGGTCATGTTCCACCTTCGACCGATTCATCACGGTTTCCGGTCACAGATGGGTATGTTTCGGACCAAACCAGCAACCTGGCAAGAGAGGCAACCAGCTTCACTTAGTGCAACCGCCCCCTTCCGGCGCGAAACTTCTATGCGAAACTGGCCGCCATGGGGCATGAGAGCGGAGAACTTGGCGGCTCGTCGGACGTGTCACGCGGCGTCTGCGCGCAAAAACCAGGGGGATGGGTGGGTGTAGAGCCTTAACAGTCGACAGCCGTCACAGCTTCACTTTGGACTTGCGAACCGACCAGCGCAGTTGGCCCGACTGAAGCGAGACAAACCTCTCGCTCGCTCGGGGACTGATCCGATCGGAGCGGCGGTGGTTCGACCCTGAAGAGGGAATGCTCAGAGAAGTGTCCATGCCCCAAGAAGTCAGATGCTTGTGATGTCAAGGGCTCCAAGCAAGCAGCAGGCATGTTTGTACATAACAATAAAACGTGGTCGGTTTGAGGATGTTGCAACATGTTGCAACTGTATCACCTGCGCTCGATCTGCCGATCTGGCTTGGCTGAGGACCATGACGGGCCCCGTCTTTGCCCGTGTGCCAGCGCTGCAGCCCTGGAGTGGCGAGGCGGGATTTACCGGCTTTTCACTGTGGATTTCGACGGCCCGAGGGCTTTATTGGTGTGAGTAGGTGGGTGTCCATTTCGATGAAATAGCCAGGAGTCTCACATGGAGTTGGTGTGGTGTTCAGGCCCATCCAGTGGATGTGACACCGTGACGCCCTTATTAAGCTTCATGTTCAACACCCAAGCTGCATGGAACTGCTGGAGGAGTAGGCCCCAGTCTCCACCCCAGGATGCAGCTGAGTGCAAAAGTCTGGCGCTTCAATGTGTGACTTAATTCTCTTATAATTATATAACGTTTATTATCGAGAAAATGGATCTGCATGATATAGTTTTTTTTCAACACATAATATAGCTATTATAATAGCTTATGATAGATAATGGCTGTGATAGATGCCGCCCCATTGACCCTTGTTCACCCCAACCGATCGGCCCAAATGGCAGTCCCAGCCTGGCGGTCGTGTCTGTCCCTTCGGCCTCACCGAGCGAACACCGGTCCGAAACACGGCCGACACGGACGTAGCCTGTACCCACCAAACCATGCGGCCAGTGGACATCCCTTATAGAGAAACCTGTTCATTTTCAGGGGTTTGGCCAGGGTGTGCCCTGGGTTCTGACCCACAGCCATGGCAAAGTAATATAGCTATGAACAAGCCCGTCAAGAGTAATTAAGGTTCAGAGCAAGAGTATGTCCACACTTCAAGACCCTGCTCAGTGATGCTACCCTGAGCAGACCAACGGCCCGGGGTGCTCAGTGTCCCTGCACAAAGCACTGATGTCACAGAGCATCACTTGGGAGAACGGAACCAATGTTTTTACTACCCCCCAGACATGAATAGTTAGACCTCTTCAGGCTTGGGGGAGTCGACATTAAAGTTTAAGCACTTCTTCAGAACTTCTTCATAACAGAACTATCTATTTTGTCTCCTTTCATGGCTTTCTTCTGGCAGGGTGTGCCAGTGGCACCGGTGGTGATCTCCTGGAAGGAACTACAGGAGGCCAACGGCATTGCACGAAGCTCAAAGCGTGTGGCGCGGGGTTGGCATGGCGCGGGGTTGGGGTGAGATGGCTCCATCGGCCTCACTGAAAGGCAGACGATCCCATCCCTAGAAGTCCCAAGATGAAAAGAAGACGAACGGGGACCTTAAAATTTTTGGGGGAACTCCTTCATCAAGAACAAGTAGGGTCTTGGACTTCTATAGAGTTTTTCAAATACTCCTCCTTTACTGCATCCTGAGGTTTGAATCTAGAGTTTGGGATGGTCGCCTTCTCCCCCTCGGTCGTTAAAGCTTTTGTCTGCCGGGTTTTGAAGCCATACGCTTGGTCGCCTCCGTCCACGCCCGCGTCCTCTGCGTTGGCGTCGGTGATGAGGCGAATCGAACGTCGGGCACGGCAGGCATCCGCGGCACCTGCACCTTCGGACGTGCAGGCTACGGGGGCTACGGGGCACGGGGCACGGGCGACATGACATGCCTGTTGTTTGGAGGTCGGTTTGGGTGGGTCATGGAGTCATAATCTTTGGAAGTGTTGTTTTGGGGCGTGAAGCACGAGGGTGCAGAGATGTGGTAGACGTCATTGATGTTTTGTCAATTGAGGTGATTCATCCATCTAAACCAGTTGGTGACTTGGAAGGGGACAGTCAATGGGAAATGACTGGGTTGCCCATGCCACTAGTCACTCACTATAGTAAGACTGCCCAGGTCATGAAAAGTCAATCCCCCTCTATGAGAACCCTTTGGGCGTCCCATCATGTTTGGTCATTGTTGGTCTACATGCGATCACGGATACTGCACCCACCCTCCAGACCACTGTGCTGGGACCTTCACCTGGGAGGCGACCCCCTTCAGGTGAATCGAAGCCGTCCAAAGCGAGCTCCCGACGTCCTCGCCACTCCCGCCACCCAGGTCTCGTCTATGCCACTCTTTTGGGGGTATAGAACAATAATTCCTGCGGCCCTCAGAGGTTTTCACATACAAAAACCAGGTGTTTTTGGGGGAAAACCGGGTGTTTGATAGGGGACTCCAGGGGCAAAAAACACGTGTTAGGTTCTTTTTGTCCGGAAATCCATGTTCTTTGGTTTTGCGAGGGCCCTCAAGGTGACGGTGACCGTTGAATCACTAGGGGCAGACCGTGCCCCTGCCCAGCTCGGGTGGTCACTGCGCCCCGGTTCGGTAGTTCGCCCGGTGGACGAAGAATTCAACGGGATCGAACCATTGCCTGGCCATTCCCTCCGGCGGGTTCGATGGTTAGGGTCGGTGCCAGGGACGTCTGTGCCCACCGGTCACCTGAAGAGATGGGACGATCGGAGCCCTATAGGCTAAGGGATGATTGCCCATTCTCACATCTGGGTGTGACAGAAGCCCGAAAACAAACAAAGCGGTTTTCGCGCTCGGGGAAACCCCCCCCCCACCCTCCACAGGTTTTAGTAGTGGCTTGGGATGGCACTCCTGTGTCTTTTTGGGAGCCATCTCCCACCGCATCCGCCTCTGCAGCGTCTTGCCGGCTCCAAAGTTGTATCGGGTGAGATCGCATCTTCCAAGATTTTTTTCACGATGGGCAACGTACTATTCTGTGACTTGGACATTCGTAACAACTTGCCGGCCGTGGATATGGCAGTTCTTTTAATTTTTGCCTCCGGCCAACAACCAGGATGATGGATGGCGATGGCACCCCCCACCGTTTGGGTACTCTCAGAGTCTTTCAGAATTCGGTCCTTTGATCCAGAGTTTCGGATCCGGACGGGAGTGTATGATCTCTTGCTTCATCCATCCGCACGAAGCGGCGTGGATCGATGTGGCGCCACGTCTACGGATCCACT